ACATGACCTGAGCCAAAACGAAAGTTTCGTGTTCATGATGGGAAATGAGTTTAATTCAGAAAAAAAGTTCTTTTCATTTCAACCTGTTAACATCAAATGATTTCAGTTGTGTCCAATAATCTGAGCAATAGTCATAATCGCCGAATTTTTTATTGATTTGAAATCATCATTCATAAAAAATTATACACCACATGCGTACACATACATACTTCAAGACAACACAATTGAATGCTATAAATACTTTAATCAAATCCTCTTCTGAGACACGCTGTAAACTTCATAGCTTCATAAAACCTTATATTTAACGTTAGAGAACACAGCAGATACGTGAAATTATTTACAGCAGAGTTAAACTGAATTAGTATACAATAATAATTCGAGAGTACGGTCGAGTGAATGCTAAGTTTAGGCTTTATGATAAACAATGATGTATCAATCGTTGTGCGAAAAAAAAAACAAATAATTGTAAAATTAATCATAAAAATGAACAAATGAACATCAATCACCAAAGAGAGGTACTCAGTTTTGTGTTTGGCCCTAATATAACCATCAGATGAATGCAACATTTCAGTGATAGCACAGTTCCGTTGATTCAATCACTCCTTATTTGGCGGAGTGATCAGAAAAGAATGCAACTTCAAATGATCATTAATCGGAAGAATGCATGAGATATACCCTAATTCCATGAAATGAACCTCTCTAATTGAATGCGAACTCATTCAGTGAAATTGCCTTCCTCTACTCCTAATGTCTTCCTGTTGGTAATAAACCTATTTAGTGAAGCACATCCATATCACCTCTCTCGATCACTCAAAATTTCGCGATTCATATGGGGTCTATTTTTTGCTCGTCGGTTCATATTGAGGAGAGTTGATTCATGTTGATGAAATTTAGATGAATGCGGTTGGTCATTTAGGAGACGAAAAAAAACTGCTGAAATTGCATGAGCGCAGCAGCGGACGGTGAAGAAATATTGGCTGCTAAATCAATAGGCACGAAAAGATTTTGGATATTGTACGAATTGAATGACTGGTTATCGAATATTTGTACTGATTGCTGATCGTCGATGGAGAATTGTGAATCGAAGACGTTCGACGGCGTCTCGATAGCCGTATCGCTGGACTCCGTCGATGACGACGATGCACATGTAGAGGGCGAAGACGGTTCACAAATTTCAGGATTATAGTAGAAGAATGCAAACGAATACTCAACATTACCCTTCTCAATCGTCATATCCACATAACCTTCGTTCACATCTGAAAATACTCCTTTCAAATATCATCTACAGTTGTTGCGTGTTGAATCTTATCAAACAGAGCAAAAACGACTAAGCGTGTAGCCTCTAGCAATAAGAAGTTGCTAGGATGAACTCACACAAAAGTACTGGATAACAGAAACACATGAAACTAGGTAACAATCAACTAATAACTTATAAATAATTTTCCAATCGCATGTTTGCTATTTGCTTTATGTTACTTTTCATAGTTACTGGTGACAAATACAGTTATATGTCATCAACTAGAATGCCAAAAAATGTGAGGATATTACAAAATGGCCAATAAATTGATGGAGTAAATTTTTATCGCGGTAATTTTTTGCTATGGTTTTTAGCAGCAACCAAAATACTATAAGATGAAGGTTGATTTGAACAACTTACCAATACTGAAGTCGGTTTTCGCATCTTTTTCAGTCATTTCTTTCAAAACATTCTCCATACCATTAATCAAGAAATTACGCACATCATAATCACTTGGATGCATTGATGCCGAGCAAAATGAAATCTGAAGCATCAAAAACTTTTGATGAATTCGCTCCTTTTTATACTAATCTGTGGAATAATGATGCGACTGAAACGGTGGAGAAAAATTCTTGGCCAATAAATTATATTAAAGATTGTAACACCAATCGTTTATGCTTGTAAACTTATTGCTTTTGAAGCATAAGATGATCTATTTCAAAATAATTAAGTGTTCGTTCAACGAATATCAAGCTGGCGGTCTTGCTTCAAGGGCAACTAAACGAATGAGAAGAATACAGTTGAATGGATACCAATTTTGCTGTTATGAAATTTTTGAACTAAACGGTCAACCGAGATGATGACAAAAAAAATGAAACTTCAAAAAATGAACCTGAACAAATGTTTCGAAATGTGCATCAACCAGATTACTAATGCAATAGCGTAAGTCTTGGACTGGACACGGGAACCATAATTCACCAAACGATTCACGCATTATATCCACGTGTAAAGATACGGATTTCAATCGTGCAATTATCTGCGGAGGTATTCTCATGAAGAAACTTGCCAAGTATCCACCTTGATGATACGGCGTTGTCTCTGAAAATGAAAGCCTTTGATCAGCGCAAACAATCCAATTTCTAACAGCAATCTTTTTCAACATCAATGACCATTGTGAAATACAATCGAGACAAGTAAAAGAATAGTGAATTTCGATTGGATTACCGTGCTAAAGATTAGAAACACAAGAATTCGCTTCAAATTACTTTCATAAAATAATCTCACTATAAATTGCGCAAACTCGAAAGGATAAGATTTCTTCTCAAGTCATTGCGTACCTTTCATTGATCTCAGTCGAACTTGCTCGAAATCTCCAAACAAATTTCCCATTTCCTTTATAACAATAACCACTTGATCGATATTTTCACATTCTATAATTTAATGAATCATTTGAATGATATCTTAAATGATATCTTATCATTGAATCATTCCGAGACGATGACAATAGAACGTTGATCGTTTCGTATTCGACAATTGGTAGGGGCATAAACTTAATTCGCCGAAAAATAGATGTGAATGATTCAGTTATTCGATGCATTAAATATAAAGAGTGTGCATAAACCTGCATTCAAAAACTAACTTTCTAAAACTTCCGAGAGATTTTCTTCGCAGAATTGACGCTTTGGTGATCGCCCATAACTGCACTGAAGGTAACAATCCGATGGATCATCACTAATCTAAAACAATCAAAATATGAATAATGCAACTCATCTTTTCGAGTATCGTTTTTATCAATTGCTCAATTGAACGTTTCATTGATCGCTTCAATGATTCGGTCATTTTCGCTGTTCACTCATAGACAGTTTTATGCGGAATGGAATGCAGACTTATCGTCAAATTTCAAAACGACACGCATCATTTTATTCTATCACTTCGAATCTAATTCACTCGTATTGACTTGTCGAGATCACCTCGAGTCTGTCTTATATCCGTACAGTGCATCATCATCAGTTTGGATCACCAACTTGAGAATCTTAGCTGCGAATCAACAAATCGCTATACNTTCTCACTGATCGCAAATGAGATCAAACATATTTGTAGGTGTATAGATTAGAAAGCAAATTATTTGAATGTTGAATTGTCTCAAAATCATCGTGAGCAGCAAATTCGTACCAATGATTCATTTCAAAGTCGAAGTTAATATCTTTTCATGATTTTATTCATCATTTGTTAGGATTTTATGAACACCTTTTGTAGTTTTCGAGAAATGCAAAGGAGTAAGGTTTAATTCATGAATGCATCGCTTTGATAAGAATCGATCAAAACGTATCATCCTACCTGAATTTTATCGTAT